CCCCCCCCCCCCCCCTTAATAAAAGGATCACATACTCGATTGGAAAAAAATTGTCTGATGCATGCGCACTCAAGTAAAACGGAGAAAACACATATTTGTGTAAACGTATAACCATGCAGTTCCAGTTATCTTGTTTACAAACGTTGTAATTAATTCATCTACCTGCATATGTTGTAAGGTTTGTTTTTAAAAAATTGAAAGAATATTCAAGAAACACAGTGACACCACTGATTTAAATCATGTATACAATCCTGAGTAGGACTGTTGGTCTAAAAAGTCCTAGGAAATAAATGTAACTCTTGCCTTTGGTTGAGGGTCTTGTCTTCCAGTTATGACATTGGCACGATTGTTACGACCAACGTTTGTTGTTGTTGTTGGTTTATTTTGGAAAACACGGACAACGTCGTCTTCCGCTGTTTGTCCACTTTCACTAAACGCTTTCGATACGCTTCAGGGACCTCTTGTATAAAACTCTTAATCACTTTTTTAGTCACTATTTTGTAGTTAAATAGTGATTAACTCTCAAATATGCGCTTCTTATTGGATGACGTTTCCACTAACTATAGTTAACTTTAATCACTTTTTTATACAACCGGCCCCAGGTCTTCTGGAATTGGGATTGTAGCTCTTTATACCTAGAGCTTTATCAATAGTGTTCACAATGCGATTTTTTGTGGGTTGTCTGCATTTCAGTCCACCTGCTCGGATGTCCTCGTCAGATTCAGAAGCTTCGTCTATTTGATTCTCTGTTTCATCCTGGCAGCCTTCATTTTCATCATCTCCTTGTCGTCCTACAGTTTCTTCATTGCCTGTTTTTGTAAATTTGCCTGGGTTTATAAATTTGAACTTGAAAAATAACAAGATGTTATTCAGTTTTATCATATAATTCCACATGTTTTATTGTTTTCCACAGTTGCAATTGCGTATTCTGCTGAAACTCTAGAAAAAATCGCACGATATGGCGACTATGTGTTACACGAAGTGTGACGGAGGTAGGCTATGGAGCCTGCAGTATAGTTTTGGAAGCACAATATTTACTTTGAAAATCATGACAATACTCTGGATTTTATGCGAAATACTTTATACTAAATTGGTACAATTGTTGTAGAAAACATATTCGTATACTGTGCAATATAATATGCTTCCTAAAAGTTCGGAGTTCCCTCAAAGACAAAGAGATGTTGTGCCTTGAAGGTACAAAGAAATATGTATATTTGTATATATAAAAAATTATAAATAAGTATTTTACATTATATAAGTATTTTATAGTTAACAAATATAAAACATTTTCCGTGTTGATATACGTACTATTTAAAACATCAGTAGGCTATCTGATAAAATACGACAACGAATGTTTTGAATAGCTTAAAAATACGACTACAAGAGATGCTGTCTTGTTAGGATGAACAATTATATAATGCAACATGTGTTTTATCAGATATAAATTCACTCCACGTGATATATTATGGCTGACATGATTTGCCACAAGGACGGCTTCACAAGGTTTATGAATTACTAATGATATTTTAATTACTATTTAAAGCATGAGCAGAAGTGTTTTATCAGATATAAGGATACGAGGCGATGCCGAGTATCTTTAGGTCCGATAAAACACGCACTGCGAATGTTTTGAATTGCTTCAAAAACGATCGATCTATTGACGAAGTAATTTTCAAAAAATTCGTTGTGTAAGTCGAGAAAATCAAAGTTAAAGTTTATATAAATCAAGGGAAATCTCTATCACATATAAAGATACGACACGCTTATGATTTTTCTTTGTGTTTTCCTCATGAATTATTAATGCGTTTGATTTCAACACTCGTGGAAATTGGGAAAACGAGAAATTGTGTGGAAATACGATGCCCGGAGCGCACCCCCCGGAGCTAATGTCAGAAGTAAATGTTTGACCTATAGACGTCTCTCACCATGATTTAAATTCAATCTCTTCATGAAAGTATCAAACTGGTATCTTTCCCCTGGTATCTTTGCACATACTTACAAGTATGTTTATTTATGTGGATATACCCTCATATTACCCTCTCGTCCGTCAGTCCTCATTTTACCCTCTCATACGTCCGTTCGCTGCCTGTTCGTCCGCATCCGCGTTTTACCCTAACCAGATAAGATTTTCCATGCGGAAATTTCGAACGCAAAGTTTATATATTAACCTTCTACTGGCGTCACTCCAATGACTCCATTATATATACATGAATTTGTGGTTAATGCTCAGCTACTGGAATCTGTAGCTCTGTTACAGTGCGTCTACAGTAAGTGGGGCCACTTACAGAACACTAACCAATCACATTGAAGAACAGAAATTGAAAAAATCAACAAACGGCGCATTAGCCAATCAGCATTAGGCCAAAAACAATTTGAACAAATAAACGAATGTCAAACGGTAAAAATAGACTTGTAAAAGTATACACTGCAGTTAATGGCTTCCTGAATCTTTCTTCTGATTGGACGAGATTTAGTTTGATTAGATTTTTCTTTCTGTTCTGCAATGCGATTGCATGGTTAGTGTTCTCTAAGTGGCCCCACTTACAGTAGATGCACTGTAATTGCAGCGCTGCCACGGAATCGCAGGAACGGTGCTGCTGGTTACCTCTAAAAATATACATAAAATTTGCGTTCGAAAATTCCAACTGCCTGCTGGTTTTTATTGCCAGCCAGTAAATTCGGGAAGCTTTTATATTTTCTATATTATTTTCGTACTGCTTTGCTATTGTGGGAAAATTTTCGATAACGGGTTTTGTTAGTGAACAAATTGTATTTCAAAGATTTGTGACTATTATGTGGAGTAAATCGTCACTATATGACAATTGTACTGTTCTTGGTAAATTCTGTAGATATGAGCTTGATATTTATGTGTGCAATAAAAATAAGCTACAATAATAAGCAATAATAAACAATCCGTTGTTGCGACTTTACGTATCATGCTTTTATATGAAAGGAGGTTTGGTTTCAAAACGCAAAATGCCAGTTCGTAGCAGTGAAATGAATATAATTGGAACACTATATCTCCAACCGGAAATTTAAAGCCAAACATTAATATAGTAATCTTGAAAACCGGCTTAAAATTCACATAAAAAGCTTTCAACAGCGCTCGAAGGTCGAGTCGAAGCTTTCTAATAATACATTTATTGAGGTGAAACTTCGTTTTAGTTTAGTATTTCTTTTTCTAATAATGGTTTACGCGAGGCATAAACACGCAAGGTCGTGACCCTCTGACTAGGGGTCTGATTTGGCTTCAAGAAAAAGATACGCGGTTTATTTGAAGGTGGCGTTGCATTTATATTCCTCTGACTGGCTCGTAGTATCGACTGTGCATTGCGTTTCCCGAATTTCTGTCCATTTCTGGGTCGAAATGAAATTGCAGTTGAATCATAACATGAGACTGAGAGAATTAGATTAGAAGAAACGCATATCAAAGTGTTCAACTGTTATGGACATTTTAATTTTAGGTATACGGACGTGCCATAAACTCTGGCTTTAATCCTTGACAAAGGGGATTGCCCGTTTAAAACTTCGGAGGATGAATAAATAATTACAGTTTGAAAATTTCTTTTATCTGCATACACGTATGGATGGTTGCATATTTTTCTTCTTCAATGATTTTATTTTAACTTTAACCAACCAACTGCCGCGTCGAAATATTTCGCTTGATTTCTACTTGACCGCTCACAATTGAAAAGGAATTGAGCGAAATTTTTTTTCCTAATGGTAATCCAGCTTGAAGCCGATTTTAAGCCTTGTTCACACTAGCCATTTTGTCGGCGATTTTGTGTTTCTGACGGATGGAAATGAATGAACTCGCACACAAAAGTAAAGAGTCGCTTTTCAGATTAAGTAGACAATTTTAAATATTTTGCATGTCATTCGTTCCATCACATTTGCCAGATGAAGAAAAATCGCCGACGGAATTGCTAATTTGAACTTTGAACCAGGCTTAAAATCGCGAAATTTTTCGCATGAACCGACTTTTCCCTTTGTTGTCACAGTAAGCTCGATATATATGTGGAGAATCCAAGGATGGCGGAATTTGACGTCCAGTCTCTTTCTATTGTTTTTTTTGTCGACGCGGTAAACGCAAGGCTGCAAGGAGTATGCCAAAATTTCGTGTTTCGACTCCTATTTAAAGAATAAAATTGTTTTTTTGAAATGATAACATGATTAGCGGTCCGACCCGTTAGAAAATAAGTAAAATAGTATGCAAACTGTCGCGGTCTTAGCTTCACTTTTCTCATAGGCTGTATGACTGCTCTTACTCCGGTTATATGGAGAGCTCACTGTGTCGGTATCACTTATCACGTTGCCGACAAAAAGAAAGTCGCTTCGCGAAAAAATTCGCTAGTGGAAAACCGGCTTAGTAACGGGCGATGACTGAGAATTGGAAACCTTTCATTGTTTCCCATTGTCTGACAGAAATTTATCATGTGTGATTTTGAAGATAATCTTTTTTATTTCTGAAAATCTTTGTGGTCTTTAATAAATATTTGGCTCGGCCTTTGCATAAACATTACTTCATATCCAATTAAATCTATCCAATAGGAACCGTTAATGTCATGTTTATTTATATAATCATCATTCAGTCTGGAAATTATTTATAGCATGCATGATTACTTTGAATTACATCAATTTTGACCAATGGGAATTTTGCGTGTTGTGGGCGACGCGTATTTCGTTTCTTGATGTGTTGTCGGCAGTCCCTCCTTTCTTTCGAGGTATTGCTCGCGGTCTACTTAAAGGAGGCAATATGCGGGTCTTTCTATTTGATGAGGTCGAGTTGGTGAAATCGAGTTATGAGTTCGAGTTCAGAAATCGAGTAAAGGATTTTGGTCATCGGTAATGCAAAATAATAATGCTAACATTTTGTATTACATACCAAATATGTATTCCAAATTCAATTCATGAGGTGTTACTGCTGTCATGCATTTATTTCTAATTACTTTCAAAATTACTTTTCATTTTACTTTTTGTATTTAAGGAGGCTCCCTACAGTTGCCAATGTATGTCAATGTTTTAAACTAAAAGCTATTTGAATCTAAAAAAACTATTTTTTTGCACAAGCCATTGTTTCCTCTTATATAAAAGAGTAATTTTAACCCAGAATTGCTACCATCACGTTACCATGACAACATGACGCCACCATCTGTATGGCCTATGTCAACCGTCTTAGCTGACAAATAACCACGGTGACCTACCTTTTTCATTGCAGAAAATGCAGTGTTATGAAGTTTTGAATCTTTTTTGAAAGTTATTTGAAAATCGCCAGTGTAGTTTTTGGGGAACTGAATTGCAGCCATTAATTAAGATTGCATTTTAGCCTTTGGAAAGGCTGAAATTCAGTTTCTCAAAAAACGAGCAGGAGTGTTTAATTAGGTTTAAAGAGTGGCACTGATTAGAAAGTAATAGTTAAAGGCAAAAATTTACGAAAACATTACCGAAAAAATTAACGAACTCGAAAGTTGATGAAAAATGCAATGTGCGGTCCCCCACCCACGCAACCCTCCGCTTCCCAACATTTTCGGGAAAAGAAATATTAATATGCTGCAAGAAAGAACTGAAGACCAAAATCAGAGACTAAAATTATCAAGGCTCGCTATTTCAAACACTAGCTTCAACTCGAATAACTTTAAAAGAGATATCGATCTTGCAACTCTTGCATAGAATAATGTCAGTTACTGATTCAGACCAGGCTTGGGATATTTGGAAAAACCTATTTTTACAAATTGCAGATCTACAATCTATGACAATATAGATTGGGACAATCTAGTTTTCACATGCATTCGGTTGTAATATACCATTTCCTGATACATATTTCCCACCCTCCCTCCCCCCACCCGTTTTGAACGGGAGGCGCTATTCCTTTCAAATTATATGAAATTACAGCAGCTGTCCCATAGTTTCTGGCAAAGATTGTCTTGGTGGTGATCAATGGTCTTTGGAATTTGGTAATTAAAGGTTTTAATTTTAAGTTTATACCGCCCAATAACATTTATTCCAGTATCGAAGCATATGTGGGCAAGTTTTTGTAGTTTTAGATACTATCCATTATTTTTAACACTATATACCAATGCAGGTACGTGTGCTACTAGCTATAATGCTTAATAATCACGTTTATATTCACGTCTAATATCATCATAGCTCTCTTCCTTGTGAAAAATAGCTAGCTCAGAGATAGCTCAGTTGTCAATTTTCTTTAAATAGAGTTCCAATGCTGTTACCATGCATGGAATTCAATGAATTGTGACTAAAATGTAGCACTACAAGCCTTTAAATCTGATTTTAAATATACGCGATGTTTCAGCCGGATTTTAGCTATTTCCTAACACACGCATACGCAAACATTGTATAACACAGTATACACGAAAATTATCCGTGTGCAACGAAATTGCTAGAGTACCTAAAAGAGGTGACGAAATTATGAAAATATAACTGCGTACACAGCTTCATGTCTACAAGTTGAATTAAGAGTAATGGTATTACTTCAACAGACAATCTATGACAATATAGATTGGGACAATCTAGTTTTCACATGCATTCGGTTGTAATATACCATTTCCTGATACATATTTTCCACCCTCCCTCCCCCCACCCTTTCAATGTTGGCGCCGCGTATCCAGACATCAGATTTTTGTTGGCCCAACATTGAACTGGGGGAACGGGGGGCGATATTCCTGTCAAATTATATGAAATTACAGCAGCTGTCCCATAGTTTCTGGCAAAGATTGTCCATGCACCAATTAAAAAAAGAAGAGTGCGCCAAACTAGCGTACCTTGGCTATCAAGTGAAGTTAAGCAATTAATGTGGGAAATGGATAGATTGAAACGAATTGCAGTAATAACTAATGATGAAATAGCTTGGAATAATTACAAAAATTTTAAAAATCTAGTGAATTACAAATTAAGAACGACAAAAAGCCACTATTATGGTTCTTTCTTCGATGATAATATAAGGGCCATATAACGAATACCTGGAAAGGTATTCATTGTTTACTCTCTAAAAACAAGAAACAGACTCAAACTGCGAAAGTTCTGGTTGGCAACACTGAGATCAGTGATCCAGTGGAGGTCAGTAATGCTTTCAATACACACTTCACAAGCATAGGATCTAAATTAGCGGCTGCAATTGATTCTCAAAATGAAAATATTAATTACGATCGCTTCTCTCAACGCGCATCAAACCATTTTGAAGTCATTGAAACAAGCATGACTTACATTCTAAAATTAGTTGAGAAGCTATCTACCGCGAAAAGCTAGTGGTCTTGATAACATTTCAGTTTTTCTCTTGAAGTTGAGCGCACCTACAACAATTGAATCGCTGACTTATATCATCAATTTAGCTATTCGTAGTCGCACTATGCCGAATGATTGGAAATGGCTAGAGTCACTCCTGTGCATAAGGAGGGTTGCAAAATGAATCCCAACAACTATAGACCGATTTCTGTCTTATCTGTAATTCCTAAAACTTTTGAGAAAGTAATCTTCGACCAAATGTATGAATATTTAACTACACACAACCTTCTTTCTAATCTGCAACCTGGTTTGAGACCCTTGCATTTCACATTGACTGCATTACTTGATGCTACTGATCAATGGTATACTAATACGGACAATGGATTAATTAATGGAATCCTGTTCATCGACCTTAAGAAAGCTTTTGATACAATTGATCACAATATTCTATTAAAAAACCTCTCGTGCTATGGTTTCAGTAACAATACTCTTGATCTTTTTCGTAACATCTCTCTGAACGAACTCAAGTTACTGTTATTAATAATATATCATCGCAAAAAATGCAGTTTCAGTGTGGGGTCCCACAAAAATCTATTTTCGGGCCACTCCTATTTCTAATATATATTAACGATCTACAAGATTGTAATCTCATGTCTGACTGCCGCCTTTTTGCTGATGACACAAATTTGACATATGCGGATAAAGACTACAACCAAGTTTTCTCTGCTATGAACAGCGACTTTAAATATCCTAAAAAGTTGGCTCGATGCTAATAAACTAAGCGAAAATGCTCTTAAAACTAAATGTATGTTTATACCACACGCCACAAGTTAGCAGCCATACCTGATCAACCCGAAATTTCGGCTAATGGACATAATATTAAGCTCTTATCTTGGGATGAACATATAATCATGACTACCGAAAAAGTAACCAAGGTAAGTGGAGCTCTCAGGCGGTTAAAATCATATCTCCCACTGTCAGTCCTCGCCATCATTTACAAGTCGTTGATCATTTTGATTATTGCAGTAGCGTCTGGGGCAATTTTGAGAAGTCTTGGGATGCAAGCTTCAAAAATTACAAAACAGAGCTGCACGGATTATTACGGGGTCCGACTACAATGTTCGTTCAATTCAGATTTTGAACTCGCTAAACTGGGATAACCTAGAGAAAATACGTTCTCAGCAATTTGGGGTCTTAATGTATAAAACAATCAAGAAAATGGTACCAGACTATCTTTCAAGCAAATTCACACAAACTAATGTGATACACAGCAACAATCTACGTCACTCTGATTCTAAGGTTTTTGTCCCAAGACCTTTGACAGAGTTTCTTAAGAAAAGTTTTACTTATAGCTTAGAGGAACAGTCCTGTGGAATAGCCTACCTATCGAAGCTGTAAATGCTACATCTGTAGTTAATTTCAAAAATATTACTAAACAATCCTAATTTTCTTCTACTTTTCTTTAGTATTGTGATTCTTATAGTTGTAATTGTAATTTGTAATTGTAATGTTATGAGAAACACTTTCAATTTTCACACATACGTTATGGGAGAATCGTATATTTGAAACATAATTACGGCCAAGGCGCAATGTGCGGTTAAATACTCCATTGTTTTTACTCACTTCTGAGGAACATTGATGAGGGCAAATTGAGGACGAGAGGAGCATTAAACACTTTTTCTAGCTCTGCTTAAAAGGGTTATAGTAACAATTGGGACCCGAGGTTTCTGTTCTCTTGAAAGAGGTGCCCGGGATTAGTATAGGGGTTTGGGAGGTTAGTCACCTCCCATATCAAACAATGTTACAAAAAGAACATGAAAAAGCCAATTAGAGTCTCGACTGCACATCGAAATGACCGGAAAGTGTAGCTTTATTTCGAAATGACCCAAAAGTGTACTTTCTATTTCTATTATATCTAAGTGATCCAAAAGTGTACTCTTTGTTTTGCTTTACAAAGGAGACAAAATATGCTACTAAAAAAAAGAAGTTCTGTTGTGGATCTAACTGGCACAAATAATGATTGAACAGGTCAATATACTCTGACCTGCATATATTCATTGCTTCAACTGCACTTTATTCCGATCATAGTCTATCAAGATATGATGGTCTGGACACTATAACATTGTATTTTGTTAATTTGTGCACGGTCACGGTGTTAAGCTCATTGTATTTTCGTATAATGACGTAATCCTCCTGTAAAGATAGCTCAGATGAAACGTGCTACCACGATGATTAATATTTAATGAAGTTGAGACAAAGGATTTGTGCTGCCTGAGGTACAGTTCAACATCAAACAAATTAAGGCCTTCTATTTTGTGGTTTTGAAGTTTTTCGGGTTTCCAGACCATGATATCTTACAGAATATGTCCCGATACAGAACCTGTCATTTGGATGCGCAGTCGAGGCTCTGAAGTGGCTTACTTCTCTAAAGTGCCCCTAACCTCAATTATTTTTATCATTTCATTCTTAAGAACCTCTGAAATGATATAATAACTTATTTTGAAGATATTCGTTTGTTCACTTAGTTTCTGATATATATATATCTTTATATGAATATATATATATATATATATATATATATATATATATATATATATATATATATATATATATATATATATATATATATATATATATATATATTGAAGATTTGGTTTCGTTGGTTATAAAAACTTTTGGTAAAGTGCTCAATGGAAAACCAGAGCATATTTAAATTAAGGTACAACAATCAACAAAATCCATCTGGCATCTTTATTACTAAATAGTTTCGTACCACAAAATGTGGCACTCTTCAGATAAATTGACCTAAATTGACCTAAATTGACCTAAATTGACCTATTTAGGTCAATTTATCTGAAGAGTGCCACATTTTGTGGTACGAAACTACTTATTAATAAAGATGCCTAGTGGATTACCGGCTGGGAGGTCCGTACTGAAAAAATATTTTCCCGAGGTCTCAGAAGCGGCCCGAGGCCGAAGGCCGAGGGACGCTTCTGAAGCCGAGGGAAAATATTTTTTTAGTACGGACCGACCTAAACGGTAAATAACGTGTTTATTTTTTTATTTAATGGTTGATGGTTATAATGAAATTCCGATAAAATTCCAGTTGCGAAGTACATTTGAGATCAGTTGCGTTTGTTACTTTTAATATAGTGCAAGCATGGCTGACAAACTGCTAAAACGACGCGATAAAAGCTGGATAAAAAGCTGTTATAGTTTCATTGCAATAGATGCTTTTTAGCAAAATATTTATTTTCCGATTCGTTTTGCAGCATGGACATGCTTGAAAATGCTTTTTGACAGACAAATACAAATTTTAGTTGCCGAAAAACAATTTGTTCTTTACAACATTTATAAAAACAATTTTGCCCGAATAAACCTTTAAACTGCCATTTAAGGTTGGTTTTTTAACATTTTATGTTTAAGGACAAGTTGTACGTCGTACTATTTATACTTATACGTATATTTTTATGCTTGCCCAAAGGGGACAAAATTATGAACATGTACATATCATTTCCATCACGCAAATATCATTTCCATATGTCCAAATATCAGTTTCAATCCAAATTCGTCGAAGTTGAGAAAAAAATCGTCAAAGTCGAGTACAAAATCGTCAAAGTCGAGTACAAATTCGTCGATGTCGAGTTGAAATTCGTCGATGTCGAGTGGAAATTCGTCGAAGTCGAGTTGAAATTCGTCCAAGTGGAAGTTGAAATTCGTCCAAGTGGAAGTTGAAATTCGTCCAAGTCGACAAACAAATCGTCGAAGTCGAATGCTATTAAAACATTTCTTCGTCCAGTATGATAATTTTTTTTAATATATACTGATACGTCATAATTATGCAAATAATTATGTCGAATCGAATGCAACGATAATGCAACGTATATGATTAAAGCCCAGCAAATGACTTTCAGACAATTAAGACATAACAAAAATATAAAATTTATTGGCTAACCTTTCGTTGTATTGTTTACAACATGTTCAGAGCAATTAATCTTATTTACAAGTGTGTATTATATATATACAGTGTGTATCAAAATAATTCGAATCCAAATTTGACAGACTGCTGTTTATAAAATACTAAAGTAAACCATATAATTTTTATATGGCAATAAAGAATAGCCTATTAGGTTTCCGATTATATCGTTCTTATCAATAAGATAAAAAATGACCAAGAAATCGTGTGTTAAAACTGGTTGCTCGAAATCAAATTTTTCCGCCGATGGGAATTCGAAGTGAGACGTACAAACAAAAGATAATGCAAATTTAATTCATCAACAAACTGTTATGTAGCAAAATTTACATAAATTCATGTTCATTTAAAGAGATTTAAGCTCCTATGCTTTCAACATGTTGAACGAGAAGAAATTCGCGTTAAATTTGCATTTTAGTTTTCAGTGATGATTAGCATTTCAAAGCCTTGTGGGACTAACTTTGAAAGAAAAAATGTCAAATTCCCATCGGCGGAAAATTGTGATTTTTATGGACTTTTTTTGTCAAAGCAATACTCCTTCATTTTCCAACTAAATGACGCGTACAGCATGTCATTTGAAAGGTAAATAAATGAACTTAACAATGGTGTAAAAACCAACCGAATTTGTCAAATATATTCTGCGTTATTACACGCCAAATTTGGATTCGAATTATTTTGATACACACTGTATATACAAATAGTTTCAAACGGTTCCAATATTCAAATAAGCGAATAAGAGGAACGATGAAAACAACCAGTACCTGCCATTAAAAATATTAATAGTAAATTAAAGATATATAATGGTTAGTATTTAGAGTCGAGCAAAGATTGAGCTTGGATTTGAAAAACCGTTTGAAAATATTTGTATATATATAATACCATTAATACA